AGGACGTTTCACCTCTTTATTGTAGAGAAACTTAACAAGTGTGTTAAAATCCATCTTTTATTCCCTTAAATCTCATTAAATATGAACGACTGGTGTCATTTCAGAGGGAGAACACGGAGGCTTTGACTAGTTCTGATCACGTCTGACGTGTGTTTCTGCTAATTTAAGGCCGATCGGTAAATGTCGTGAGCTCCAGTTCGGGTAATTGTAAAAATAATCTAAGAGGAAATAATAAAGCTGATTAAACTCTCGCTCACATGAAGAAAACTTTCCGTTCTCTAAAAAGAGGCGCATGAAGCAACTTCCTCCGATTAAAGGGGAACAAAAGCAGAAGTAGGACTACAAACATGGCGGCTCCGGATGTTTGTCTGGTGTTTGTTTGTTTGCTCACGCTGAGGCAGGACGTCGGGGAAGTCGCGCTGACACTGATCCAGGCTGCAGCTTGGAGCAGACGGATGACTTCTGTGGGCCGGAGGTTCTCCTCCGGTCGGGCAGGACGTGGATCCAGATTGGACTGAAAATAAAGAGCAGAGGGAGGATTTTAAGAAAAGAACGGAGCAAACAAGCTGCCTGGAGTCTTTAAAGAATAAAATCTCATAAAATCACATTAAAATATATGAATTTACATGAAAAGTGTAAAAAACAAACTAAAAAAAACAACGTAAAGTGTAAAAAACATCAAAAATCTGCATATTTATAAAGTTTTACACTATTTTTACTGCATTTAAATCAGCTAAAATGTCATTTCTTTACTTATATTTTCTATATTATGATTGGAAAAGAATAATGATGTACACTAAGGAGTGAAAAATAAGCAGATGAATCATCTCACCTTTTGTTTTGCAGTTTTATTAAACTACAGACAACATCCAGTAAAATTTTTAAGGTAATTTGTTCATTTACAACTTTCAACGGTGAAATTACATTTGAATTGTATTAAATCAGCTGAAAATGTCACATTTTACAGATATTTGTGGTGATAAATATAAATGGTGTGTATTGAGGTTTGTAAATCATTTTTTAAAATAATTTTGGAAAAAAAAATGCTGTTTTACAGATTTTTTCCTCCCATTTTGTTAAAATTACCGAGAAATAAAAATCATAGAAAAAATAAAATAAAATAATTCATTTACAACATTTAACAGTAAAATTACACTTTTTTTAAAACTGTCTTTAAATCAGTTAAATATAAAATTATTTTACAGATTTTTGTGGTTCTAAACAATGCATGTCATTTGTGGGTTTTTTTGTTTTTTTAAAAAACTATTTTACTGCTTTTTTTGTTGATTAAATAAGAGTTAAAACTTTTTTTAAATACAGAAAAAAGTGCAGATTTACATGTTGACTGTAAAAATAAAACAGAACCGAATAACATGAAGTATCTATATTTTTACAAATTGTTTTCAGATTTATATATATACATACATACATATATATGTATGTATGTATGTATGTATATATGTATGTATATATATGTATATGTATATTTATGCAGATATTTGCTTTTATTGTCAGTTTTATTATCCTGGTTTTGAACATTACAGGATCTTGTACTTTTTAACGTATTTTTTTGCTCCCTTGCTGCCAGTTTTTCACTGTTTTTTAGGCAGTGTGCTCATATTTTTCAGTACATTCCTGTTTTATCTGCTGTTATTAGAAAAACCAGGATTGATGAAAACCTTGTGCCGCTAAGAAGTCAGATGTTTAATAATTCGTGTTACTGATTGAACGCAGGCGGCAGAGTTAAGTGTTCTGGACCAGAACGGACTNTTGTTGTCCATCTTGTTTTCCATCTTGATTGTTTTGCTCGTGTTTGTCGTCGGCTGTCCTACAACACAACGTGCAGCACTTGTTTTTTAGAGCTTTTTGTTCTATTTGTGTTTATTTTATTTCAGTTTTTATGTATTTTATTGGAAAGCACTTTGTAGCGTGTGTTTTGTAAAGTGCTCCATGAATAAAGTTTATTATGATTCTTTCTATGCTGTGCAGATGAATGTTGTGTTCTTTATGTAACACATGAGGTCTGAGGGTTCAGAAGGTTTCACCTCTTCTGCAGCACCGTGTTGTTGACCCAGGTCCACGTGCTCCCTTCGTTCTTCAGCCCGATCCAGTACTTCAGAAACCCCTTCTCAGTCAGAAAACTCTGGAACAGAACACAGAACCACCACGTTTCACACCAGCAGACCACATATATGAATGTTGTCTAATGAAGGCAGCGGAGCCGAAGCGGACCTGGACTCCGTGGCTGCCGACCACGGCCAGGCTTCCTCCTCTGGAGCTGCAGTTCCTCTGGCTCTCGGCCCAGTTCAGCCTGAAGGTGGACAGGTAGAAACACGACCTGCCGAGAGCCAGCCAGCCGGTGGCGCACTGCTGGCAGCCCAGACCTGCAGGAGGAGACGGAAGCCAAAGAAGACGCTCTTCAGAACCAGAGGCTCAGTGAGTCCACGTCACACCGAAGCTTTTCTTTTCTTTTGGTGAACTCGATTCGTTTCATCGTTCTGCTTTGACCTACGTACCTTTGACCCATTTTGCCTGAATGCTGGTCTGTTGGTGCAGGTTCTGGAGGTTCTAGGACTTCATCTGAGCTGCTGATTAGACTCTGTGTCTCTATAAAGTCACTGTGAACTTCATCATCGGGCTGCTTGACCTTCACGTCTGAAGCAGCTCTGCTATCTCTGTATTCACACACCAGCTCCAGCGACAAGCTTCTGTGGTTTATCAGCAGCTGCTCTGATCGTCGCTGAGCAGGATTCACTCAGACTTTACCTCCGTGAGTTACTGTCAAAGAAGACGTTTCACTGTTCTGTGCATCTTCGGTTCCTGTTTTATTTTTACACGCTGTACTTTCGTCTCCTCTCTTCACGCTCGACTTTATGTCTCTTCTAACTTTATAACATCTGCTGCTGAGTCACGGAACGATGTTTGCTGTGTTTTGGGAAAAATAAAGTTGATTTAAGGGGTTTTTTCAGCTGAAATGTGTTTTTCTGCCCAGATTAGGGAACTAATCAGGGTCAAAACTGCTTAAAATGTATATAGGTATGTAAATACCTCTTAAATTTGCAATAAAATCAAGTTTAAGGGGTCAAATCTTTA